GACGGAATACCAGAGTGGCCATTTAATCTCACTTCCAGACTTGCGTCGGTGTGCCGCAGCTGCTGCCTGCGCCGCTGATTGAGTGAGGCGAGCCACAGGAAGATCTCCAGTAGGAACAAGTGGCGTTCCATCTCGCGGTCTACACAGCGGTTACTCAGACACGACGATCCTATCCTGTGTACGTCTCACATGTTGAAGCTGGGCGATGCAGGCGGAGACAACGCCGACATTTGCATCTAAAACATAAACTCGCAACATTCACTTGCCGTCCCTTACGGTCATCATATAGCCGAATGGTCGTTCTCCAGGGGGCATTCTCACGCTAGGCACAGCGTCTGCCCATCTGCTCAAGGATCGCTCAATGTAGTCGAGGTATTTCAGCAATACTTCGCTGTCACCTGAGATGGAGCTCGAGAGCGACTCAAAAGTGATGTTTGCAATACTCACCTGGGATCTCTGCTTGATAGCCTTGGATTTCGGTCTTCCTCGGTGATCGGGGTTCCTGATGTTCTTCAATTTGCGAAGGGTCACCACGGCCTCGTCTCTGAAATCAAGTATTCTCAGTCTGGCGAGTAACTCCATACCTCCTTGTGAAGAACTAGCGCCATCTCCTTGGTCGTAGACAGAGCGTCTTCGAGCAAAGTTTTGATCTCATCCAAAACTTCAATGTTGCTTTCGGCGCATTTCTTTTTCTCCTCGATGTCCCTCTCGAGTTGTAGAAGTGCCTTTGGAACAACATCATAATGGTCCTACGTCTTCTACTAAATCGCCTGGTTATTTCATAACTTCTCGCTTCTTCCTCGCAAATGTGAAATCTCTTCGCGAGATGGTATTCCTCCCTCCCAACTTGGGAGTCCCAAGGCGACTAAGAGCATACCTTTTGTCTTTTATCAGCATCGCCAGCAACTCTGGCATGGTGCATGGCCAGAGCCTTCTTGAGTTTTCTGTTCTCCTTTTTCCAATCCTCGATATCTCTCGACAGCATATTCGAATAAGTCCCCAACCTGACCAGGTGACTCAGCGGGTTCAACTCATTCCCTCGTGTTCACCCGTAATTCTCTTGTTCGGCCTTGACGAAGATTTTTACGATATCTCCGGCCTCTGTGACACCCGTGGATTGCTGGATAGTACGGAAAGCCTAAATGCCCGCCCACAAGACTGTCCGACGTACATACGCTGGCCACAAATAACACGTATGAGTACAACAAGTTATGTGAGAGTTGACCAAATACTCATTGTAGCCAGAACATGT